GGGGGGGGGCGCCGGCGGCCCCGCCGGAGCCGCGGGCACCGCAAGGGCACAACTAGGCAGAGCAGGGTGGCTCCTGCCGGCTTTGCCCGTTGCGGTGCGGGAGGATCCTCTGCGCTATTTTGCGGGTGTTTCCCCAGTTCGGTGACCCTGACCAGAAATGGGGCGCCTTTATGGTTTCAGGAGTCCCTTCTGATGCCCGGTCAACCCAAGTACAGGTGCCGCTACGCTGGCATTTCCTGTGCTCTGCGAAACACGCCGAAGACGACTGTGAGGACAGAAATTAGTCTTGATGCAAGCCCCTGGGGCGAAAGCGCCAAAGGGATAGCGGAAAATCAAGGTGCCTGGAAGCAGCAGCAGGTCTCTCTTCAGCAGATACCATAGCCGAAGAGAAGGAGATTACAAGGCAAGGGGTGAGCAGGGGCCGAGAGCGCTCGCCACCCAAGCAGCGTCACCATCTCTCTGGGAGGGACCGTTCTGGTCCAGGATGGTGGGCTCCCGTCTCCAGGACGGCTTCCAGCACAGGAAGCACCACAGGCCCGCTGGGACAACGGCGCAGGGCTCTCCTGCTCCAGAGCCGGCCCGCGGGCCGAGGCAGAACACTTCAGGGGACACCAGGATAGGGCAACGTGTCTGCTGCATGTGCGGTGCAGAAATGCTGCTGCTGCTGCTGCCGCCTTTGTTGCAGCAGCATCCCTATGTCCTAACAGAGCTTCTTGTGCTCACGCTGGGACTCCCTCCCACGGAGCTCCGCACGGGCATTACAGATGCCTGGGATGCAGCTCCACGTCACCCGAGCGCACGGCACGTTCGGGAGGGCTGCTGCCAATCCAAACTCAACAAGCAACCCTAGTGACTGCAGCGTGCCCCACTCCGGGCTTATGGCTGCCTCCTGCATGCTGCAAGGAGCTCCCCCACTATGGAGCAGGCAACTCCAGCGCGGGCATCAGTCAACTCCGTCTTAGCGAACACTGGACCACGCAGAGGGCCGCTCTTTGATGCCTCTATCTCCAACCTTTGGAACACAGCTCTTAAGACATGGTGTCTTCCCAGCCCACACCAGGTAAGTGCTCCGAGACAGCCCTAGCACAGAAAGCAGCACGTACCTACGAGAAGGAGCTTTCTTCCGCTGGAGAGCGTCGACGCTTCCTGCGCCGGGGCCTTGCTCTCCTCGCTACAGCTTCCTCTCCGCTCACGGCTCTGCCCTCGACGCTGCACAGACACCCCCGGCCCCGCTACCTGCCGTAGGCATCTTTACTTCCTGGCGAGGGGGCGGGGAGGGACACTGCAAAGCCGCTATTTGCACAAGCGGAGATATTATTTTCTGTTTGCTTCCTTCTGCGGAGCGCTGAGCACGGTGCCCCCTCGGCGCGCTGCAGCCCTTGTCCTCGCACAGGCGGACGAGCTTCCCAGCGCACGGCGGTGGCTCCCGCTGCGCGAGCGGAGCGGGCCCGGCGCTGCACGCAGGTCTCCCAGCCATCCAGGGACAGGAAGCACCAGCTCCAGAGCAACCCCCGGCTCTCTAAATAGCGCTGAACCAGCTCAGCAGCAGGAGATGCTAAAAGCGGAGCTGGGGACGCGCCATGAGGAGAGGCCAAGCGCTCGCACCCCGAGCAACGCGCAGCCGCGGAGCGAGGCGCGCTCTGCAGACCCGCAGTCCGCGAAAGGCAGCGATCGGCTGCGTCCTGCCACCCCGAACCCAGCGAGCTCCTGCCCCGCACGGGACATCTCCGCACTGAGCGGCGCCCGGGCCTGCCCGGCCGGTCAGCGGGCTCATTCGCGCAGCGCTCGGCCTGTGCAGCTCTCCCACGCGGCAGGTCGTGAGCGGCTCCCTGCTCCTGCACACGCTCACACCTCGCTGTGGCTCTGCCCTCCAGGAACACGAGGCGCGGTGCTGATTAATTTTCACAGCACATAAGGGAGTTGCTAGCCCTTTAAGTGTCAGCCAGCCTCGCTCGCTCGCTCTTGTTCTCCAGGGACCTATTAATAGCAGCTGGAAAGATCACATCACTCTCTGGATATTTATACCCCTCATTCCACACCAGGAGAGATTTATGTCAGAGCTGCCGTCCCAGCGCCTGCCCAATTGCTCCGCGCAGGGGGAGGGGAGCGGAGCGGGGAAGGAGACACGGAGAGGGCAAGCGGGGAGGAGGAGAAGGTCCATCCGGCTCCGAGCGCAGCACCCAGCGCGCGTGCTGCCCGCAGTGCCCGCTGCCGCCCGCGGAGCCGGCGGCCCCTCGGAAGCGGCTCCAGGGAAGCGCTGCCAGCTCCTGCCGCAGCCGGCCCGGCCCCAGCACCAGGAGAGCGCTCGCATCCTGCGGCCGAGCAGACACCTGCCTTAATCAGTTCAAACGGGGGAAAGAGATGCCCACGAACAGCAAGTGCAGCAGCCCTCGCGAAGAGTCGCTCCTTGTAGCGACAAAGAACGACTGCTTCATGGATGAGTAAGTGGTGTTTAATGAAGAGTCATGGTAAATACAGAGCCTTCCCTCACCACCTGGCAGCCCGCTCCATCCTCCGTTCCGACTGCCAAAGAACGTCACTATCAAAAGCATTTCAGGCACGGACTGACGCACGGGCAGCCGCATCCACGTGCACCCCACGCCACGCTGCCTGGATGGAGTTTGGCTGCACGCTCCACTCAGCAAGGCAGACACAGGCAGTCGGCACAGCAAGAGCTCCTGGAATGTCCCATCCCGCTTTGGGGCTATCTAACTGAATTCCTTCTTCCTTTGCCTTCTGGGATGGGCTGCCCATCCCGGGAGCACGTACAGGCCTTGCCTCGGCCACTCGTAGCATGGAAAGCCACCCGGATCCGACCGAGCGCCTGGTCTAACCCATTCCGGGTTAAACCACACGCTCCTGCCTGCAGATTCTGCAGCGCTTGCAAGAGAAGCAACAGTTGGATCCTGCTGCCCGGCCTCCCATCTGCCCGGGGTTGCAGTAAGCTGATAGGCATCTTGCTTGCTGTGAACTCCTCCTCACACACACCCCTTCAAACTGGATTGCTGTAGACGTGCCACATAGCTGGGCCACAGAAAAGGCTTAATTACAAAATAAGATGCTCTGGCGCAGGGAGACAAACGATCCAAAGCATCTCAAAAAGAACACAACAAAAAGGACAACACAGAAATCTGGCTCCCTCTGCAACTCAGCAGGCCCCCCACCACAGCCCAGCAGCTTGAAAACAAGAGCAAATTTAATTCCCATGGTCAAAGCAAGGAGCCAGGACTCCTGCACGCGGCTGCTGGCTGCCGCCTCCTGCACTGGTGACCTTGAGCGAGACACGCTGTTCCTGGGTACCTAGATTCCCCCATCATTAAACAGGCTGCCAACTCGGCCTGCCTCGCGAGGGGAAGGAGGCTTGCAAGGCATAATAAATATCTCTGCTGAAGAAAACGCTCTGTCTAAACGCAGACAGAGAACGTTTGTGCCAGGTACGTCTGAAAAGCCACGGCGCTACAGCGAAGGCTGAGACCTTAGCGAAAAAGCAACCCCAAAGCACAACAACAAGAACTGCTTCCAGGGAGTCTCTGCGCTCCAGCGGCACGAGGGGCGGAGGCAGCGCCGGGCGCGGAGCAGCGGCTGCTCTGACATCTCCGCAGCCCCGGAATCGCTGATAGCTCCAGAAACCTGACACCCCGGCGCGCTCCCAGAGGGCTTTCTGGTGAATCACGCTGCTGCACAGGACGATAAGGCAGATTCCCGAGGCGGCCCCAGGAATGCGCGGCCCTCCCGGCGGGCAGGGCAGCCCCGCGCTGCCGCTTCGCACTGCAGCCCCTCCAGCCGTGCCGGGAAACGGCAGCGCGAGGGCAACAGGGCGCCGGGATCGCAGGGATTTGGGGAACGAGGGACTCGCTGCACCCCTCCCATCGGGGTGCTCTGGCACGAACCCGAGCTAACGCCGCGGTGCACACGGCAGCCGCGCCGAGCGGCCTCAGAGCCCGCGAGGAGACGGGTCACGACACGGTGACGCAACAGGCAGAAACAGCCGCCCGTCTCGCAGGCAGCCCAGGAGGCAGCACAACCAGGTTGCTACCGCAAACGCCCTCTGAACACATCGCCTCTGCTCATCCCACAAGCTGAGGTCCTGGGACTGCTCTGATCCTTGGATAACCCTGCAAACCGGAGGAGAATGTCCTTGCTTTGGAAACACGAGGTCCCGAGCCGGCTCAAGGGCCGCAGACAGCGCACGCGGGTCAGCGAGACGAGCCACCCCGAAGGACCCTGCTGCTCCCTCTCTTCAAACACGTCGCGCTCCCGCTCCGGAGGGGAGGATGGGGTTGCAGACACGGTGCCTAACACTCCGCTCCCAGATGATCAGGCCTCCCAGGGCTACCACAGAGCTAGAACACTTCCCAAGGAGTATCGTGCTATTTCATCAAAGACCACGTGCAGCACAGAGACGAGGATTGTGACAAATTTGGCAGTAATAAAATTTCTAGGGCCCAAGACTCCAGGCCTGTTGTTGATTTGAGACCAGAATCAAGAACCTGACCTTCTCCGAGCAGAAACGGTTACTCCAAAACAATCCTTTGCAACGGGTGTTCAACAGGTTTCGATTCTGTTCCAGTGAGAAACAAAACCCCCGTACCAGCAGGGACACAGGGTTTCTGCCATGCAGGCAGCTCCGGCCAAGACCTAGCGAGGGTGCCCAACGACGGAGGGGCCCTGGCACCCGCTCTGCCCCGCGCGGCAGCTCCGAGGCCGCAGAGCGCCCTGCCCTGCCCTTACAAAGCCGCAGTTGCACGAGCGTCTCCTTGGCCCCGTAAGGAAGGTCTCACTCGAGCGTTTCTATCGCCCGTGCAAGCGGCGTTACCCCAGGCCACGCGAGCCCTGCTCGAGCTCAGGAGCTCGAGAGGCCTCGCGCATCAGGAGGCCGCACGGGGCCATGCCGCGGCCAAGGGAGGTCACCTGCTCTGAACGGGTTACGGCATCGCGGCAGGAAGTTACCTCGTTCCTGCATCGCCAGATAGAGCCCAGAAAAGCCTTCTCCCTCCCTCCTCCATTTCTTGCATCCTTCTCATGCCTTTTAAACGGGAGAAAACGTATGAGCCTCCCAAGCCGCACTGTCCTACGACGAAGCCTGCGAGGGCTCACGCGCGCAGCTGGGCACATGCCCTGGCACCGCGCGCCCCGCGGCGCCGCGCGGGCTGGGCCACGACGCCACTAGGTGTCAGCGTCGCCTCGGCAGCGGGCTGAGCCCTGGGGAACTCACTGCATCTCCAGCGGGAGCGCAGGGGATGCCACGCGCAGGCCAAGCGCTTCCCGGGACCTCCAGACCGGAACGTCTGCCCGCTGGGGCGCGGACGGCGGTGCCGAAGGGCAGAGCCACGTGGCGGGGGCTGCGTGTCGGCTGCCGCGCGCCCATCCCAGCGGGGCACCGCGGCAGCGCCCGGCACAGGGAGCATTTTGTGTGTGCGCTGCCCCGACTGCAGGAGAGATGCTAGCAGCCACCGAACGCGCCCCCAGGAGTATAAATAACAGCCCGGCGCAGAGCAAGGCTGCGCTCTATATTTAAACCCTGGCTGAGGTCACTTCCTTTCCCAGCAGCTCCGTGCAGCGCCAGCGCCGCTGCTCTTATTTGCATGGCATCACGGTGAAGGTGCACGGGGGCTGAAGGTCAGCGCGGGGAGAGCCACGCATCTGCCCCGCAGGAAATTCCACCCGGGAAACCTGCCCCTCCGGCTGCACGGGGAGACGCCTGGAAGAAGGGAGCGGGGAGCGGGAGCAGACCAAGCGTCCCCATCCCCCTTCTCCCACGCAGGGGGGGCAAAACCCCCCAGCCCTGCCCGCAGAGCTGGCCCAGGGCCCCCGCGGTTTCTCTGCCCTCGCAGCGTCCTCCCCTCAGCCGCAGGAAATTCCACCCGGGAAACCTGCCCCTCCGGCTGCACGGGGAGACGCCTGGAAGAAGGGAGCGGGGAGCGGGAGCAGACCAAGCGTCCCCATCCCCCTTCTCCCACGCAGGGGGGGCAAAACCCCCCAGCCCTGCCCGCAGAGCTGGCCCAGGGCCCCCGCGGTTTCTCTGCCCTCGCAGCGTCCTCCCCTCAGTACGCCAAGCTCCTCAGAAATGTAATTACCTCCCCCTGACCCAGGGCTGCGACCACCACCGTCTCACCGAGCGCAG